GGGGGGGCGGCGCTCGTTCTGAGACAATAAGTGCTCACAGTGCACACCTGCATGGGTCCAGGGGGTTGAGAGCAATCTCGCTCCCCAAAGTCACCCAAGGAAAGAGCCGGGAAGACACCCAACCCAGAGGCCCAGGAGGAACCCTGAGGAAGTTGAGAAGACGGCACCTGCTCATGAGGACAACGAGTCTGAGGGTCCAGCTGGCCAGCAGGGCACCAGAGGGTCTAGAAAGGTCCCACAGGAGAGCACCAGCTCCCCTCAGGCTCCCACCCACATTCACCCTAGACCCCAGGACTGCTTCCTGACTGTTCCCAGCTCAGGTCTCTGCGGGGGGCAGGGCTCAGTAGGTTCAGCTCTGCCCCTCACAACATTTGCTCCTTGGCTGCCTGGGTCTGGACTCTGTGGCCTCATCGTCCTGGTTCAGGACTTCATTGTCCCTTTTCCTGCAATGAGGAGCAGAGCAAAGTCCCGGGACAGAGCCATGCCTGACAAGGGTGGGGTCCCTCTGACAGAAGCCATTGTCTCCATCACACAGACAGGGATCTAGAACCCACCATCCCACAGAGCCACATTCTAGAGCTCAGGGGCTGGGCCCCTCCCCAACTCTCAAAGACCCCCCCAGTCAGAGAGAGGAGAGAGGTAGAGGCCTTCCTCTCTATACTCCATTTTGGGGACTATGCAACAGGACCACCTCTGAGGAACCTCAGTCCATAGGTTGCTCTGAGTGGCACACCTGGATCGAAGAGGTACGGGCCTCTCCAGAGGGCCCCTCACCCCACCCCACCCCATAGCACAGCCTCAGCCAAGAAGCTCCCCACCTTTACCCACTGCTCCTGCCCAGGCATGCCCAGCATCCTCTGACTGGGAGGAACCTGGCCATACCCCCTGAGAGCCAATGAGGGGTAGTCAGTGAGGCCCAGAAGAGACAGCTAGTCTGGGCTTGCACCTGAGGGTCTAACACTGCTGTCTTGGGCACTAATGAGGGCAGAGCAAGCCCACTTCTCCAAACAAAAGCTTCCACTGCCCTTAGGTATGGGACCCAGCTTGCAACCTGGCTAGGGAGTAGGTGGCCTGCAGTCCTGCCTGTCAGTGGGGGCAAAGGCAGGCATGGGGGTTAAGACTAGGGCGTCCCAGCCTTTGCTCACCCTCCTGTCCATGGACAGAGCCAGCCATGGCGGAAGAAGTCTGGGTGGGAACCTGGAGGCCCCATCGCCCCCGGGGGCCCATCATGGCCCTCTACAGCAGTCCTGGACCCAAGTACCTGATTCCACCTACCACAGGTAGGTGCCTTGAGCTTGGAGGGGGGGGTGGG